AGGTGCCATCTGCTTGTGCCAGGGCCCAGAGGCCTGCTCTTGTCCGAGCCTGTTTTTTTTTTTTTTTTTTTGCCTTTTGGGTCACACCCGGCGACACACAGGGGTTCCTCCTGGCTCTGCACTCAGGAGTCACTCCTGGCGGTGCTCAGGGGACCCTATGGGATGCTGGGAATCGAACCCGGGTCGGCCACGTGCAAGGCAAACGCCCTACCTGCTATGCTATCGCTCCAGCCCCGAGCCTGGTTCTTGAGCAGTGTTTGGGCTCCTGGTCTGGGAATCGGCCTCTGGAGGCCTTGTCACCCGTGTTCCCCGGCTGGGGCTGCTGCTCTGTGACCCGTCATTGGCCTCTCCAGGGCAGTGTTCCAGTGGCTCCCTGTCCGTCCCCTTCCCCCCATCCCCCCGGCTTTTCTTGGGCGTTGGGTGAGGTTTGGGTGAGAACTCTGCTCTCTTGCCCTCTGTCTGAGCCCGGGGCATAATGACAGCCATTGGCTGGGGCTTCATCCCCTGCCCCACCCCAGTCTTTTGTCGCCCTCGTTTGACTGGACGGCTATTTGACGGGCAGGATTTCAAAGGACCAATCAACTTTACCAATCCTTCCCCCCCACCCCGCGCCTTTCCCTCCTCGCCTTAAGAGCACTTCATCTGTGTCCTTAGCCGCTGTCCAAAAGGGACTTTTCTTTCTCTTTGTGTTTCTTCTTATTGATCACTGGCTGTCCCCTGGCTTCAGAAAAAAGATGGGCAGGTGGCCACAATGGCTGGGAGAGCGTCGAGTTGAGTCACCTCCCCCATGCATTTCAGTGACCAGGGCAGTGGGACCAGTGGAGGGGATGTAGGATGGGGACGGTGTGTGTGTGTGTGTGTGTGTGTGTGTGTGTGTGTGTGTGTGTGTGTGTGTGTATGGACGTGGAATGGGGACAGTGTGTGTTGTGTGTGGACACGGGATTGGGATGGTGTGTGTGTGTGTGTGTGTGGTGTGTACACAGGATGGGGATGGTGTGTGTGTGTGTACGTGTGTGCATATGTCTGACACCCCACCCCCACGGGGAGCTGCCCACCTGCCGAGAAGGCCTCCCTGCTGCTTTCCACGGGGACATTTCTGGGACAGTGGTGCCGGAGAAGCCAGCGGCATCCCAACATCTCCTGGAGCTGGTCTTAGTTCAAAACACATTTTTGTGGGGCCTAGAACCCACCCAGCAGTGCTCGCTTGGGGCTTGCTCCAACTCTGTGCTCAGAGAGCACTCCTGGCTGAGCTCGGGCACCCTAGGGGGATGGGACCTCAGACGGGCTCGTGCCACGCTGGCACTTTCCCCGAGGTCCTCCTGACCCAGGCTTCCTTGGGATTTCCTGTCTTCCTTCCCGTCTCTCTCCTCCTCATGCGTCCTCATCCTGAGACACAGGACCCGCCCTCAGGCTCCTCACTGTCCTGCCTGTCCCGAGTTCTGGCCAGGGTGCCTCCAAGCTTGGACAGCGCCTTCCTGTGATGCTGCCATGTGGCTTAGGGACATCTTGGACCTTAGGCTGAGCTCAAAGAGTCGGACAGTCGTCACCTTGGGGCGCTGAGTTCCTGTCTCTTTCAGTGTTGTTTTGGGTGATGCTCAGGGTCACTCCTGGCTCTGCACTCAGGGATCACTCCTGGTGGAGCCCGGGGGACCCTATGGGATGCTGCGGATTGAACCTGTGCAAGGCCAGTGCCCTCCCTGCTGTCCTGTCCAGGTGCTAAGGCCCCTGAGCCTTCCTAAGGGTGCAGCTCCCCAGCCCTCTCTGGTAGCCTGTTGAGTAAAATGAAAGTAAATCTCACTCACATGGGGCTCAGAGGTCGTGGTGGGAGGCTGTGATGGAGAGTGGGGTCTCTCAGGAAGGTGCAAGGGCGATAGACAGGCCTGGGGGAGGGCAGCGCGTGTGCGTGGCCTTGCGTGGCGTTGGGGAGGAACTGCCCATCCGTTCCTGCCCTGCGGATGGCAGCTTCTGGGGGAAACGCAAAGCTTCCATGGGGTGACACCCCCGAGGGAAAGGCCTGTGACATTTGTGTCCACTCTGATTTGCTTGTGACATCACCGCCACGTGCAGCGGTGGGCACAGGCTGTGTGGGCCTGGAGGGCGGCTACCCCGGGACTGACGTTGGGCTCCCACCTTCCAAGCACGCCCTGCAGCTCTGGGTGCCCGAGCCCTGCCCAGCCCTTTCTTTTCACAAGGTCTGTGTGCGGGCGGGCAGCCTGGCACGTGGGTGGCCCTGAGCTCCACCCCTACACCGCCTGGTTTCCAGAAGGCGGCTGGGCGCAGCCCTGCTGGTTCCTGAGCACTGAGGCTGGAGCAGCACCTTTGCGGAACCCCAGCACCCAGCTGTCAGGCCCCCACTGCCGAGACCCCCAGATGCCCGAGGACCCCGGGAGAGCCCCTGGAGCATGGTGTTTGGCAGAGGCACTTGTGGTTGGCAGGAACCCCCCGACGGGACTGAGGAGGTGCGGGGGCGACTGTGGTCCCCTAGTCAGTGTCGGGGTCACCTCGGGCACCCTTGCTGCAAGAACGGGAGCTGCTGGCTTGATGGGGCAGAGGCCAGGGAGCAGCTCAGCCCGTCCACTCACAGGACAGCTCACTCGTGTGCACATGCACCCAGGCACACACATGCACGCACACATGTACACACGTGCATGTGAATGCAGTTGCTGGAGTGTGTGCCGCTGTGGCGCCTTGGTTCGGGGACTGGCTGAGGTGGTCACAGGTATGGAGTGAGAGCCCAGAGGCTCCCAGACTGGGAGCTCGCTGAGCTCCAGTGACCAGACTCCTGCATGGCCACGAGGCCACCGCATTGGGCTGCGAGGTGATGGAGGATGAGAGGACCTTCCCTTGGGGGCGGGAGAGAGTCGCTTCCGCACTCAGCTTGCATATGGCGGCAATTCTGGTCCATTCCTGGCACCACAATTGATCCCCTTGTTGACCCGCAGGAGTGGCCCCTGAGTGCTGGCGGGTGTGGCCCCAGACCAAATCCCCCTGAGATCTTCACTTTCCGGAAGCAAGGGCTGGCACACCTCCCTGAGTCACCTGCTGAGTCCCTGGGCTTGAGGAGCTGGGGCCTGGTGGAGAGGCTCGTGGGTCTGTCCTCCTTTGGGCGGGGCGAGCTTACTGACCCAACCCCAGGCAGGTGCATCCCCCTTTGGGCAGGGCTAGCTTGGGGCCCTGTGGGGGTGTGTCCCCCTTTGGGCGGGGCCAGCCCCATGTCCCCTGCGCACGCGTCCCTCTGGGTGGACCTGTGCTCCCGAGGGGATGTGCCCTCCTTTGGGTGGGGCCAGCAGGTGGCCCCGTGGTGGTGCATCCCCTGTGGGCAGAGCCAGCCCAGTGCCCTTGTGAGGGTGTGTTCCCCTTTTGGTGGGACTGGCCCAGTGACCTCACCCTGTGCAGGTGCGTCCCCTTTGGGTGGGGCTCAGCCCAGTGGCCTTGTGGGAATGCGTCCCCCTTTGGGTGAGACCAGCCTGGTGTCCCCTGCGCATGCGTCCCTCTGGGTGGTGCCAGACCTGTGCTCCCAAGGGGGTGTGTCCTCCTTTGGAAGGGCCAGCCCGGTGCCCCTGTGGGGGTGTGTCCCCCTTTGGGCGGGGCCAGTCCGGTGTCCCCTGTGTACAAGTCCCTTTGGGCGATGCCAGGCCTGTGCCCCCAAGAGGGTGTGTCCTCCTTTGGGTGGGGCCAGCCCAGTGTCCCCCTCCCCCGTGGGGTTGCGTGGCCCCTTTGGGCGGGGCCAGCCTGGTGTCCCCTGCACATGCATCCCTTTGGGCGGTGCCAGGCCTGTGCCCCCAAGAGATATGCCCTCCTTTGGGTGGGGTCGTTCCGATGTCCCCTGTGTATGTGTCCCTTTGGGCGGTGCCAGGCCTGTGCCCCCAAGTGATGTGTCCTCCTTTGGGCGGGGTCGGCCCTGTGTCCCCTGCAAGTACATCCCTTTGGGCGGGGCTGGCCCGGTGTCCCCTGTGTACGTGTCCCTTTGGGTGGTGCCAGGCCTGTGCCCCAAGAGATGTGTCCTCCTTTGGGTGGGGCCATTCCGATGTCCCCTGTGTACATGTCCCTTTGGGCGGTGCCAGGCCTGTGCCCCGAAGAGATGTGTCCTCCTTTGGGTGGGACCATTCCGATGTCCCCTGTGTACATGTCCCTTTGGGCGGTGCCAGGCCTGTGCCCCGAAGAGATGTGTCCTCCTTTGGGTGGGACCATTCCGATGTCCCCTGTGTACATGTCCCTTTGGGTGGTGCCAGGTCTGTGCCCCAAGAGATGTGTCCTCCTTTGGGCGGGGTCGGCCCTGTGTCCCCTGCAGGTGCATCCCTTTGGGCGGGTCTGGCCCGGTGTCCCCTGTGTACATGTCCTTTGGGCGGTGCCAGGCCTGTGCCCCCAAGAGATGTGTCCTCCTTTGGGTGGGGCCATTCCGATGTCCCCTGTGTACATGTCCCTTTGGGCGGTGCCAGGCCTGTGCCCCAAGAGATGTGTCCTCCTTTGGGTGGGGCAATTCCGATGTCCCCTGTGTACATTTGGGCGGTGCCAGGCCTGTGCCCCCAAGAGATGTGTCCTCCTTCGGGCGGGGTCGGCCCCGTGTCCCCTGCAGGTGCATCCCTTTGGGCGGGGCTGGCCCGGTGTCCCCTGTGTACGTGTCCCTTTGGGTGGTGCCAGGCCTGTGCCCCAAGAGATGTGTCCTCCTTTGGGTGGGGCCATTCCGATGTCCCCTGCGTACGTGTCCCTTTGGGCGGTGCCAGGCCTGTGCCCCCAAGAGATGTGTCCTCCTTCGGGCGGGGTCGGCCCCGTGTCCCCTGCAGGTGCATCCCTTTGGGCGGGGCTGGCCCGGTGTCCCCTGTGTACGTGTCCCTTTGGGTGGTGCCAGGCCTGTGCCCCCAAGTGATGTGTCCTCCTTCTGGCGGGGCCGGCCGGGTGTCCCCTGCGCGCGCGTCCCTCTGGGTCCCCTGCCCCACCCCGCGCCCCCGGCCCCCTGGCTCACGCTGTCCCCCCCGTCTCTCTCCCCCGTGTCCCCGCAGGTAAAGACGAGCCTTCCAGCTACATTTGCACGACATGCAAGCAGCCCTTCACCAGCGCCTGGTTCCTGCTGCAGCACGCGCAGAACACGCACGGCTTCCGCATCTACCTGGAGCCCGGCCCGGCCAGCAGCTCGCTCACGCCGCGGCTGACCATCCCGCCGCCGCTGGGGCCCGAGGCGGTGGCGCAGTCCCCGCTCATGAATTTCCTGGGCGACAGCAACCCCTTCAACCTGCTGCGCATGACGGGCCCGCTGCTGCGGGACCACCCGGGCTTCGGCGAGGGCCGCCTGCCCGGCACGCCGCCCCTGTTCAGCCCGCCGCCGCGCCACCACCTGGACCCGCACCGCCTCAGTGCCGAGGAGATGGGGCTCGTCGCCCAGCACCCCAGTGCCTTCGACCGAGTCATGCGCCTCAACCCCATGGCCATCGACTCGCCCGCCATGGACTTCTCGCGGCGGCTGCGCGAGCTGGCGGGCAACAGCTCCACGCCGCCGCCCGTGTCCCCGGGCCGCGGCAACCCCATGCACCGGCTCCTGAACCCCTTCCAGCCCAGCCCCAAGTCCCCGTTCCTGAGCACGCCGCCGCTGCCCCCGCTGCCCCCGGGGGGCACGCCGCCGCCGCAGCCGCCGGCCAAGAGCAAGTCCTGCGAGTTCTGCGGCAAGACCTTCAAGTTCCAGAGCAATCTCATCGTGCACCGGCGCAGCCACACGGGCGAGAAGCCCTACAAGTGCCAGCTGTGCGACCACGCGTGCTCGCAGGCGAGCAAGCTCAAGCGCCACATGAAGACGCACATGCACAAGGCGGGCTCGCTGGCCGGCCGCTCCGACGACGGGCTGTCGGCCGCCAGCTCCCCGGAGCCGGGCACCAGCGAGCTGGCGGGCGACGGGCTCAAGGCGGGCGACGAGGACGGCGGCGACTTCGGCGTGGGCGGCGTGGGCGGCGGCGTGGGCGGCGGCCGGCGCCACCACCACCACCACCACCCCGAGAGCGACCCGTCCTCGCTGGGCGCCGAGCCCGAGGAGGAGGACGACGACGAGGAGGAGGAGGAGGAGGAGGAGCTGCTGCTGGAGAACGAGAGCCGGCCCGAGTCCAGCTTCAGCATGGACTCGGAGCTCAGCCGCAACCGCGAGAACGGCGGCGTGGGCGTGGGCCTGGGCGTGGGCGGCGTGGGCGGCGGCGTGGTGGTGGCGGGCGCCGTGGGCGCCGCCGCCGCCGCCAAGGCGCTGGCCGACGAGAAGGCGCTGGTGCTGGGCAAGGTCATGGAGAACGTGGGCCTGGGCGCGCTGCCGCCCTACGGGGAGCTGCTGGCCGACAAGCAGAAGCGCGGCGCCTTCCTCAAGCGCGCGCCGGGCGCGGGCGGCGGCGGCGGCGCCCCCGGGGAGCCCGGCGCGCCCGGCGCGGACGACGACGAGGACGCGGCGGGCGGCTGCGGGGACGCGGGCCCCGGCGGCGTGGGCGTGGGCGTGGGCGGCGTGGGCGTGGGCGGCGTGGGCGTGGGCGGCGTGGGCGGCGTGGTGGGCGCCGTCAACGGGCGCGGCGGCGGCTTCGCGCCCGCCGACCCCTTCCCGGGGCTCTTCCCGCGCAAGCCCGCGCCGCTGCCCAGCCCCGGGCTCAACAGCGCGGCCAAGCGCATCAAGGTGGAGAAGGACCTGGAGCTGCCGCCCGCCGCGCTCATCCCCTCCGAGAACGTGTACTCGCAGTGGCTGGTGGGCTACGCCGCGTCGCGCCACTTCATGAAGGACCCCTTCCTGGGCTTCACGGACGCGCGCCAGTCGCCCTTCGCCACCTCGTCCGAGCACTCGTCCGAGAACGGCAGCCTGCGCTTCTCCACGCCGCCCGGGGACCTGCTGGACGGCGGGCTGTCCGGGCGCAGCGGCACGGCCAGCGGCGGCAGCACGCCGCACCTGGGCGGGCCCGGGCCCGGCCGGCCCAGCTCCAAGGAGGGCCGGCGCAGCGACACGTGCGAGTACTGCGGCAAGGTCTTCAAGAACTGCAGCAACCTCACGGTGCACCGACGGAGCCACACCGGCGAGCGGCCTTACAAGTGCGAGCTGTGCAACTACGCGTGCGCGCAGAGCAGCAAGCTCACGCGCCACATGAAGACGCACGGGCAGATCGGCAAGGAGGTGTACCGCTGCGACATCTGCCAGATGCCCTTCAGCGTCTACAGCACCCTGGAGAAACATATGAAAAAGTGGCACGGGGAGCACTTGCTGACTAACGACGTCAAAATCGAGCAGGCCGACCGCAGCTAAGCGGGGCGCGCGCGCGCGCGGGTGCGTGTGTTGGGTGCGCGCGCGCGCGTGTGCGCACGGGTCGGGCGGGCGGGCGGCCGGGCGGGCGCCCCATCCCTGTACAGAGGTGGAACGTTCTCTCGGTTCTCTTGCCAGCCGGGAGAATGCTGACCTGATACTTACTTGCCTCCGCATCCTCCCCATCCGCCCCCTCCTCCTCCTCCCCCATCCATGTCACCGCCACTTAGCACCCCCACGTGTCCCTGACGCCCAAGGGAGGCGGCCCTCCAACCTGACCTGTGTCTGCGAAGTCCTATGGAAACCCGAGGGTGGATTAAGGCAGTAAAAAAAAAAAATATTGTGGAGCCTTTTAACTGTGCAATAATTTCTGTATTTATTGGGTTTTGTAATTTTTTTTTTTTGGTTTGGCATGTGCAGGTACATTTTCTTCTTTCTGTTAACATTCTTTTAAAAGATTTTGTTGTTGGGTAGCCATCCCTTTATTATGATGATGATGATGATGAAGATGATGATGATTTTTTTTGAAACCCGGTAGTAACCCGAGCAATGACTCGCAAGCAATGTCGAGGGGACGCATATCTTTTTAAATTATAATTTCGGGGTGGGGGGGGGAGGGTGCTGCTTTTTTGAAATTTAAGCTAAGCATGTGTAATTTCTTGTGAAGAAGCCAACACTTAAATGACTTTTAAAGTTGTTTACTTTTATATTCTTTATCATTTTTCTTTCTTTTCTTTATTTTATTTTTTGGTCCTGAAATAAAAAGTGGCATGTTTTTTTTTTAAAAAAAATTTTTTTTGGGGGGGGGTTGAGGGGTGGATGTACAGCGGATTACAATCTTTAAAGTTGTAGCACTTTGTTTCAGAATCGGAATGGAAATGTAGCACTGATAATGTCCGGAGTGTTAGAGGCCTTTCTGTGTTGATTTCAACCTTTTCCATTCGCTAAGTAAAGCTTGGGGGGCCAGGAGAGGGGGGGACTAGAGGCCCCCGGAAAACTCAGCACTGCCAGACAAACAGGAGTTTTAGGGGGCTGCCCTGAGCTGGCGGAGAGCGTCTTTCCTGCTGCAGGTTCCCAGCGGGTCGCTCAGCCTTACCCGAGCAGGTTGGTGGCCCCTGGGTGCCCGCTGTGCAGTGGGGTACGCTGCTCCCTGGATCACTTCCCCAAACAGACGAGAACCCCACTAGGGAGGCGAGCGGAGCAGCCTTCTCCCCCTTCCACGCCAGCCCACTGATGGCATCGGCATCCCAAGAGGCTGCGGGGCCCCCGAGACCGTGTCCCCTCTCCCTGGAAAATCCGGGGACCATCCCATCCCACCACGACCAGCGCTACTCCCCGTGTCTTTGTTCTGTCCCGTTAGGTTGGAAGGTACTGATCGGTGACCTGTTGAGATTAGACATTTGACTTCTGTTGGCGGCACTTTAATGCTTTTGTTTGCATTTAAATGAAATGGCTTCTAAACAAGAAATTGCAACATCTTCTCTGTGGCCCCAGAGCTGGGTTTGACTGTATCGGACGTTGAGATTGAGTGTCAGTGTTGCTAAGCGTGGCATTCACAATACTGGCACTATAAAGAACAAAATAAAATCATAATTTATTGGACAGTTTTTTCCTACTGCCATTCAATTTGATGTGAGTGCCTTGAAACTAATCTTCCTATTCCAGTCTCTTGAGACGAATGCAAAACTTTTTTTCTTTTTCCTTTATTTTTGGGAGGGGGCAGGGGGGGGTTTGGAAATGAAAAGACTCTAACAAAAACATGTTAAACGAGAAAAAGTACGTTCCTTAGAAACAAAGCCACATTTCCTTTAAATTTTTAATATCCTGGTTGAAGATAGAGGACGTGAAAATGCCATAGACCCGATCAAACGTGAGCTAAAGCCACACAGCCGGGCCCTTCGTTACTGAATCGCCCTCAGCCCCTTTGACCGGGGACCAACACTGCTTAGATGTGGAATGAAGGTGATTTACTGCTGAATTAAATAAAACTCAAGTGACACAAGGGACAAGTTGAAATGGTGGAATTAAAAAGAAAAAAACAAAAAACAATTCAGGAGCAACGTCTAATTTCTTTCCTAAAGTTCAATTTAGTGCACTGTCTTAAAAATACGTTTACAGTATTGGATACATAAAAGGGTAAAAAAAAAAAAAGTTGTGTGTATGTGTGTTGGAGCGATCATTTTTTTTTCCCAAGTTTGCTTAATAGGTTATCAAGAAGATTCCACAGTGGCTGCGTGTATATTGGTTTTTTTTTTTTTTTGGTTTTTTCTTTTGGTGATGGGGTTTTAGTATATATTATATATATTAAAATTTCTTGATTACTGTAAAAGTGGACCAGTATTTGTAATAATTGAGAATGCCTGAGCATTTGACAAAACAAGAGAAAAAAAAAAACCCCTTTCTTTTCCTTGAAAATGTTGCAGTAAAATTTAAATGGTGGGTCTATAAATTTGTTCTTGTCACTGTAAACTGTAAAGTCGGAGTTTTAGTAAATTTTTTTCTGCCTTGGGTGTTGAATTTTTATTTAAAAAAATGTATAGAAACTTGTATTTGGGGATTAAAAGGGGATTGCTACACCATGTAGAAAAAGTATGTAGAAAAAAAAGTGCTTAATATTGTTATTGCTTTGCAGAAAAAAAAATCACATTTCTGACCTGTACTTATTTTTTTCTCTTCTCAACTCCCTCTGGAATGGATATATTGGTTGGTTCATATGATGTAGGCACTTGCTGTATTTTTACTGGAGCTTGTAATTTTTTAACTGTAAGCTTGTCCTTTTAAAGGGATTTAATGTACCTTTTTGTTAGTGAATTTGGAAATAAAAAGAAAAAAAAACAAAAACAAAACAGGCTGCCATAATATATTTTTTTAATTTGGCAGGATAAAATATTGCAAAAAAAATTTGTATGTGAAGTCCTATTGTACAGGAGAAAAAGAGGGTTGTTTGACAACCTTTGAGGAGAAGAAACGAAAGGAAGTAGTTGAATGCTTCGGTGCGCCATCAATGCAGTTGTATATATTTTTGTGGGTGTCGGCCCATACACAGGACCGTTGGAGGCGCTTCACTGATGCCCCGAATCTCAGAGCATGAAGGCTCCCTGGTTGGGGCCGCAGCAGACCCGATGGGAATTCTTGATTCGTGTTGAGTGGGAAACAAAAAAATTCCATTTTTGTGAGGATGTACCATTTCGCAGAACCCTCCTTTCTGGAAGAGGCCGCCCGTCCGCTGTCTGGGCTAAGAGAGTGACTCTTCCTTCCCGCCGGTCACCGTTGCCGCCACCTCCCTGCCCCTCGGAGCAGAAAGAATCGCAGACCGGGGGACCGGGACCGGCTTCCTTGGGTCCTTGGGAAGACAGTCTGCCTGCACGGGCCGCGGAGATGCTGGCGTGTCCCCTAGGCGCAGGGACGGCCAGCTGGATTTCAGGAAAGGAGGCCACGTCAGGGCAAGGACCTCCGTCCACTCCACCAGGAATGCTGGCCTGTCGCCTTTTCTTCCCTGCTTTGCTGCTTTTTCTCTCTGAAACCTACATTCCGTCAGCTTCCGAATGCCGAGGGCCTGGATGGATTCGGTGCCTTTCCACATCTCTCTCCTTCCTCTGCATTTCCTCTCCAGCCTCCAGCCTCTGTGGGTCCCTTATTTGTTCCTTTTGGTTTTATTTAATTTCTTGTCTTTCCCCCTCGCTCTCTGTCTCTGTTCCTCTCCTTCTCTCTCTCTCTCTCTCTCTCTCTCTCTCTCTCTCTCTCTCTCTCTCTCTCTCTCTCTCTCCTCTCTCTTTTGTAAAGCCAAGTAGCTTTAAGATAATAGAGTGGTGGTTTTTTGGATGAGGGATAATACCTTTTTAAAAAAAAATACCTATATCAGGAAGCCATTTTTTATTTCAGGAAATAGACGAAACCATTATTTCAGGTTATGAAAGTCTAACCAAGTATCCTTTGGGGACGATTCTTGAACAAACGCAGAGATCTTGCTGCTGGGAGCCTCTGCCGAACGCACTCTTCGCTCCTTGCCGATTAATTACCTTTGCGAAGGTTGACAGACCTGCGGGCGTGCTGCAGAGTGAGCTGGGAATTCTGTTTTCTGCCTGCTCGGCCGGAACACCCCAGGGCCGCCCTCTCCTCTTGGGTACCTCGTAAAGGTACTTGGAGCTCCCCCCACCCCCCCACGCACCCCCCGAGGTGAATCCTAGGTTGTTCCACAAGCTAGCCAGCTCTCAGCAACTTCCCCGAGTCACCAGAAAGCCAGGACCAAGCCATCCTAAAGCACAAAGATTTGTCTCTGTCCACGGCAGAGAAACGAGCATTTTTTTGCTTCTCTTTCATGTTTCAGACGCTCGCCCCCCCAATCAGAAACACCCAGCGAGAGAGCCCCGCGTCCCGGAGACCCAGCTCACCTCAGCCGGGTTCCACACTGCCACGACTTTCTTCAAAGTTGCTCCCCCAACTCCCCCAACTGGAACCTGCCACTTGCCAGTAGAGGATCTTTCCCGGGGAGAGGGGGGTGTGCGTGGGGTACCCCCTGAGCCAGGAGAGGAAGTGGGGGGGCAGCGAGCCTTTCATCCCGGCCCTGAGTCCCATCGTCGGTTTCGTTGACCGCGTCAGCCCGTGATTCTGGTGCTCTTTGTAACTCAGCCTGCAAAGCAAGTCACATTGATTTCAGTCGTTTGCATTTGTACTGGCAAGGCGAAATATTTTTATTACCTTTTCTATTACTTATTGTATGAGCTTTCGTTGTTTACTTGGAGGTTTTGTCTTTTACTACAAGTTTGGAACTATTTATTATTGCTTGGTATTGGTGCCCCGTTTGAGAAACGGGCACTTTATTATTTTTTTTTAATTATGGATAAAAATGTTGAGATGACAGGAGGTCATTTCAATACGGCTTAGTGAAATATTTATTGTTCCTTTGATTCTCTGTACAAGATTTGGGGCCTCTTTCCCCCCTCCACGTCACGATGTTCAGTTGAGCATGTGTCTGCCATTTCATTTGTACGCTTGTTCAAAACCAAGTTTATTCTGGTTTCCAGTTAT